TGCTTCTCTAAAGTGCCTGTATGCTAATGCACACAGCATGGAAAATGAACCAGAGGAATTAGAAGTCCATGTGCAATTATAGGGCTACAATCTCATTGGGATCAGAGATGTGGTGGGATAGCTCACACGACTGGAGTGCTGCGTGGGTGGATACAGGCTCTTGAAGAAGGATAGGCCAGGAAGGCAAGGAGGGGGAGTTGCCTTTATGTGAGAGGGCAGTGGGAATGCAGTGGGGCTCTGCTGGGGACAGGTGAGGGTCAGGGTTAGTGGGCAGACCAACGTGGGTAACACTGTAGTGGGTGTCTGCTATAGACCACCTTCTCAGGAAGAAGAAACAGATGAGGCCTTCTTCAGACACCGGGAAGAAGCTTCATATTTGCATGCCCTAGTCCTCATTGGCGACTTCAATCACCCTGATGTCTGCTGGAGGGACAACACAGCAATCCAGGAGGTTTCTAGAGTGCATTGGTGACAACTTCCTAACACAGGTGATCAAGGAGCCAACAAGGAGAGGCGCTCTGCTGGACCTCACACATACGAAAAAAAGGAAGGACTGTTTGGAGACGTGAAAGTCAGGGGCAGCCTTGCCTGCAGAGACCAGAAGATGGTGGAGTTCATGATCCTGTGAGAAGGGAGTAGGTCAAAGAAAGAGTGGGATCACAATCCAGGACTTCAGGAGAGCATACTGCGGCCTGTTCAGGGACTTACTTGGAAGAATCCTATGGGATACAGTCCTGGAGGGAAGAAGGGACCAAGAGCACTGGTTGATATTCAAGGATCACCCCCTGCAAGCTCAAGAACGTCCATCCCAACAAGCAGAAAATCAAGCAAAGGCAGCAGAAAGCCTGCATGGATGAACAAATTGCTCATGACTAAACTCAAACACAAGAAGGAAGTGTACAAGAGGTGAAAGCAGAGGCAGGTTTCCCAGGAGGAAAAGAGACACATGTTTGAGCATGCAGGGATGGGGTTGGAGAAGCTAAAGCCCACCTGGAGTTGAATCTAGCCAGGGATGTGAAGGGCAGCAAGAAAGGTTTGTACAAGCACATCAGTAGCAAAAGGAAGGCTAGGGGAAGTGTGAGCCTGCTGCTGAATGGGGCAGGAGCCCTGTTGACAAAAGGACATGAAAAAGGCAGAGGTACTGGATGCCTTCTTCACCTCAATCTTTACTGGTAAGACCAGCCCTCAGGAATCCCAGGCCCCTGACACTAGAGGGGAAATCTAGGGCAAGGAAGACTTACCCTTGGTGGAGCGGGATCAGGTTAGGGAACATTTAAACAAACTGGACATAGAGAATTCCATGGGCCGTGATGGGATGTACCCACAAGTGCTGCAAGAAGCTGGTCAATGTCATTGCAAAGCCACTTTTGTTTATCTTTGAAAGGTCATGGCAAATGGGAGAGGTTCTCGAAGCCTGGAAGAGAACAAACGTCACTCCTATTTTCAAGAAGGGCAAGAAGGATCTGGGGAACTAAAGGCTGCTCAGCTTCACCTCCATCAATGGGAAGGTGATGGAGTAACTCATCCTGGATATCCTTTCATACGTGTGAAGGACAGGAAAGTGATTGGGAGCAATCAGCATGGATTTATGAAGGGGAAATCATGCTTAACCAACCTGATAGTCTTCTACATGAGGTGACTGACATGGTGTATGAGAGGAGAGCAGTGGATGTTGTTTAATCTTGATTTTAGTAACGTTTTTGACACTGTCTCCCGTAACATCCTCACAGATGAGCCAGATAAGTGGACACGAAGTGGACCTTAGTCCTTGGCCAAAAGTCATGCTTTTCCTTGGCTGTAAGTAATTTCTCAGCCTCTTTCAGATCACTCAGTCCAAAGGGGTTCTCAGAGCCTTGCCTGGAAATACTGTCTTCATCCACTGCTTATGCATCATCATTGGTTGCCTGGTTTGAAAGGTGACCCATCTAACTGGAATCAGTTCTGCAGTGCCTTCTACTACAGGTAATATCAGGTAACCACCTCTCCTGCGCACACGAGGGAGGCCTTTGCTTTTCCCTGTTGTGTGTCACTGTGGCCTGGGACTGACACAAGTCATATTTCAGAGATGAAACCTCCCAAAAAGAAAGCAAACCTCAGCAGCAGGCCTGGCCTGCTGTCTGTGCTTCTTAAGGAATTACTTTTGATGAAGCTTCATGAAAAGGTACCTGTTTGAAGAGATGTAGGTCAGTGAAGCGATTCATGTTATCCCACCCTACCATCATCATCTATTAGCTCAGTAGTACATGCACATACAACATGACTGGGGCTTGAAGCCACACCTTGCTTACCTCTAGGGTAGAGGCTAACCTTGAGCCTGTCGGGGCTGTGAAAAGGAATAACAGACAAACCTCGGTGCTTTTGTTATTCATGGTAATAGCGTGCAGGCTAGGTCAGCTGTAGTTGCTTTTGTCACTGCCAGCATAATATTGCCAAGTATGAGGTAGCAGCCTAGATGTGGGAGATGTGAACACCCTTCTGTTAGGAAAGAGGACTGCGGGAGCAGCAGTGGCTGTACATATCTGTGGGTTTCATGTTCAGTTTCTATTGTGATAATGAAGAAATGTTTGGAAAATGGACCCAGGGACAAGAGGGTCAACGTGGGGAAATGGCACAAAGGAAACGGTGACTTGAAGTGAAGTTTCAGTAAGTGAAAAGTCTGTAGCAGCTGATAGTCTCCAAGAGGCGGGGCAGAAGCAGAAGGAAATGAGTGCATGCGCTTGTCCTAAGGAGGGTGAGTGATGTGAGCACTGCTGGGCAGACACGCCGGTGCCTGATGGGATATGTTACCAGTATACAAGCTGAGGAACAGTCTTTCTAGCGTGTGAAGTAAGGGAGGGGAGTCAAGGCCATGTCAGAAAAGCCAGAGTTTCTTGTGGTGGTACGGCAAACAGAAGTGGCACAGGTCCTGGGCAGCAGATGGGGCGTTGCCTCAGCACCCTGTGGTGTGCCTGTGAAGAAGGGACGGTGCTCCCCAACTGCGTGCTCCTACTGGGCTGCTGAGAGGGCAGGGGGCAGAGAGGCACGCGGGGCTGTTGGCCCTCCCTTGCCTGCTGCCTGTCCATGTCTGCTCCTCCCACCCACCCAGGACACCGAGGGGCACAGGGTGCCTCTGCCCCCCACCCCAGCCCCCTCAGCACCTCCATCCGCTTCTGCCCTCCCGCGCCCTGCCCGTCGCCGACCCCACAAAAAGGCCAGGCCCAGGCGGTTGTATACAAAACCTGAAATAGTTTACTTTGCTTTTTTTTTTTTTTTTTTTTAATTTT